ATTATTTACACAATTGAGTCATAAATGCATTTAAAATAAATGAAAAAATTGTAAAAACATTTAGAAATATAAATAAAATTGTTGTCTAAACTAAACACCATTTGAATGAATGAACGATTGATTTAATTATAACTAATGACTAGTCTATGAATTACACGAAAGACAAACTCCGGCGTTGTTTTGGTAAGAGTTTTGATAGCATTTAACGGCACATAAACGACAAAAGCATTGATTGCATTGAAAACAACTGATAACACATTCATCGCAAACACTTCTCTCACAGAAATGACAACTAATCATCTCTTTATCCCTCTTTTGCTGAACACAATTGAAACACTTCTTCGCGCCGTTATTGCCATCGTTTGCACCCACTGTTTGGTCACCACTTCTTTGCGTCACTTTATTTGATCTCAAAATCATTAATTGATTAAAAGGTAATCGAAATGAGACTAAAATGAGAGATAATTGTGTCAATCAATTAAAGTCATGAATTGAGACAAACATTTCACACCTGAATGCGAGTCATAAGTATGTGATCGACACAATCGCTTCCCATTGTCTTCTTCCTCGTCGATGTCCTCTCGAAGACGTTTAGATGACATTCCCATCGATTCAATGGCTTGTAATATATGTCTAAATCATCTGATAATTACATAAAACGCGCGAATCTAACGATTGAGTCAAACATTTTTGACACTAAAAAATCAATTTTCAAAACATTAGAAAACATCTGATTTTGTGTTGAAATACAAGTTTTGCCATAAATTATAACAAAAATATTTTTGTCCATAAATTGAATGCAAAATGTTTTCAATGTTTTGATGTTTTGCTCACAAATTGACATCACTTTGAATGTCAACAAAAGTGACGACAAGTATTAGGAGGTGTGACCACAGATCAGTCTTCGCATACATTTACCACATCTTCACCCGAGTGTCTGATCCCTGGAAATGAGTGTCAAAGCGTTTGAGTTGTGGTCAGTGGCCGAGAAAGTGATGATCGGAGAGAGGGTTAGGGTTAAGGTATAGTCAATGATGCCATCAATTGATCCCAACTGTGATCTCAATGTATTGTTTGTATTGATTGTCAGATCGAAAGCATCGAATTTCGGGC